GGCTATTTAAAAAGAATGTATAGGGAATCCTTGCATCGTCCCTTACCCCTTATTCCCAATCAGAATTCTTAGCAAGCTTGTAGTATAACAGTCTGAGTCAAATTTCTTTTTTCTTCTGGAACAGTCTTTTCTCATTTTCCTTCCTGGAGTTCTCTGAGTCTCATCTCTTGAGTCTTAGGTTTATGAGCACTGAATCATCGGTATAAAATCGTTTTGCAAATAAACAGAAGGCAAGGCAATATATTTTACCGCCTTGACTTACGTGGCCATGTGCCACTCACTTTGAGCACTGACTGTTCGCCATTTCTGACCCCGGGAGGGGATGAGCACCTGTAAGCCAAAGCTCCATGCCGGGCGCCAGGCCCTTCACCGTCATTAACAGTCATTGGCAGGCACTCACTTTTCTTGCTCTCTGAGTGGCGTGTTCGGAGGAAAAAATGCTAAGAACATAGAAAGCCAGCTGGATGGCTATGTGATGGTTGTGTCACCTCACCAGGTCTTGCCTGCTGACTCTTGATCACGGACACTGGGGGACAGGAAAAGAGAGGCCTGAGTTCCCAGTCATGCCTCTGCCTGCCACCTTGCCTCACTGTCGTCCTGTGGGGCTCTGACAGCAAGCTGTGACTTACTGTGCCTGTGAGTGTGTTGCCCATCAGTTCCATCTACTAGCTTTGTAGTATCCTCTTCTGAACCAAGTTCCTCGAATTCTTTCTGACACGGTAAATCACATCAGCTTCCGGATCCGAGTCACCCCTTTCTATATCCTCTTCTCTGCATAGCTGCAGTAACCTGATGTCCACACTTGCCCCTTTCCAGCCAGGGGCCTCTTCAACAGAATGGTCTTTTAAAAATATACTCAGCTCATGTTAGTCTTTCCCCGTCCTCTCCCCAGAAAAACAACTGCTCTTGACTATTTCCTATCAATCTTCAACAAAGATTAAAATTCTCAACCCTGCCTATGGGCCCAGCAGGGTGTGTTGCCCACCCTGCTCGTCTTGGGCCACTCAGCCACCCATTATCTGGGTCTCAGCCACACTGGCTGCCTTTAGGTCTTCAACACGCCATGTTCCACGTCAGTGTAGAGCTTTGCACATACTGTTTCCGCCGACTGCAATGCCTTCCATCAGTTCCCTTCTCCATCAGGGAAAAGCTCCTACTCTTTGTCCAGACCTCAGTCCAAACATATGGTCCTTGGGTGGAACTTCCCTGATGCCCCTGGCCTGGTTAAAGGCCCTATCGTGGGCCTTTGTTGCCCCATGCCCTTCTCCCTTATAGCACTTTTCATAGTTTTCATGTATTTGAATGGGCTTAAAGAAAAATGAAAATCATCTTCGCTAAACTGTAAGCTCCGTCAAGACAAAGACCATGTCTGTTTTTATTTACCTGGATGTCTCAGGGCCCTAGCGTTGAACGCAGTGACTAGTTAGTGTGTAAATTTGTTGACCGAAAGAATATAAAAATGATTTGAGGCAGCTCGTTTCTCGATTTGATCTTGAATACATTCTTCACCTAAACTTAGTCAATGTTTATTCTTTATCAAGCAGTAAGGGGGTTTGGGAGTGAGTATTGCTCTTTATACCAAATAACGTAATACATTTTTATTTCAAAGATTGTATTTAAAACAATGAAAAACATTAGTTAGAAAAATGTCTTCTATTCATCTTGTCTTTCAAAAAGAAATTTTGAGAAAAGTAAGAGAAAGCAACATTCATTCAACTTTTGCGTGTTTAAAAACTGATTATGCACATGAACAAATGTCTCCCGGTCATAAAAGGGAATGTGAGTTGCAAAATATCTGAAGGTGGACAGAGCCAGGAGATGTCTGAGAAGAAGCAGGGGCAGGAAGACAACTAGCAAAAGAATTGCATTAATTTAAGGAGTGGAAAAGCTTATTGGAAGCATTCTTCAAAACCCTTCAGAAGCTTGTAAAATAATATTTTACTATGTTTTCTCCAGCACTTAAAAACCTCACAAATGCAAATGCATTATAAAATGTGAAAATAAGGATTGGCAATTAATTACATTCTCCAGGGAGATTTAATTAAAAAAGGAGTGTATTTGCACTGCTTCTCCACAGTGAGATGTTTATGGCGTCTGGGAAAGGAAAACGAACATTTGAAAATTTTTTGACATAGCCGGTATTTAAAGGATAGCAATTGGCTAACATTTGCGGCTCTGTATGTTGAATATTTTGGCTCCCATCCTCTGGTATTCATTCTGAAAGATTTATAATCCTTCGGGGAGTGTGGTCAGTGACAAGGGTAGAACTAAATCCTGAAATGTGGAAAAACTAACTTTCCCTAATATAAAACTATTCTGAAAAAAAAAATCCCTCAAGCCTATGAATATGTTTCCAGATTTTCAGAAAAAGCTCTTAATTTACAGAATTCTTTTTTTCTATCAGGATCTAACTTCTTAATGATAAATGTAAATTTTCCATCCTTTGGCTTCAAAATTGGCCTAGAGATAATTCAGAAAAATACAGAATGTTACCTTTTGAGCATCCGCTGCAAGTGCACGACTTTTGAAAAATTGATGTCATCGGTCGTAGTGTAAACAATGAAATAAAGCTCCAAGGATAGACATAGTCTACAGAAAGAGAAAAATTGAGAGACCTTAAAATGAAATAAGGAAGCGATGATTGTACTGAGTGTATAAGTGTAAAATTGCTACCAAAGAAAATATAATGCAAGAATAGCAGTCAAGAAGGTCCTTGATCATGTACAACTGAATGTCGGGATAGTACACTCTTCTTCAGGAAGCTGGGCCTGTGGCGTGGGGACTCTCGGCTTGACTGAGGCATGACACAGCTGTCTGACATCTCGCTTTCTAGCCAAGCTTGACCCTGAAGCCACTGCCTAAGGAACTCACTCTACTTGAAGCTCTTGGTTTGCATTTTCAACCTTTTAATATAGGAACCTGGGTTTGTTCCTTCAGGTACCCCACGGGAACTTTCCAGCTCCTTTTAACTATTTAAATTCAGAAAAAGGGCCTCCTTTAATGAATTTTTTTTTCTTACTTGCTTTGCTTTTCTTTATTCTTCATTGTTTAATTAATGATGAGTAACATTTAGATTCTTTATGGTTTACAAAATATCTGCCATTTCTTTTTCTAAAAGAGGCATCAGATATGCTAGCATGTGGGGGTCCTGTGCCCCCCCAAATGAGAAAGTTTATGAAACTGACAGTAATACATAGAGGGCTTATTATTTTATGTTTCAGAACCAACTGTAGGAAAGTTAGTGCTGTTAAAATCTCTCTTGATTCTGAGAAAAGGACACTAAGAATTGAAGGAATAAAACTTACTTTAAATGTAAATAATAAAATTAAGGCTATTGTCATTCTAGACTTAATTTTGAACATAGAGGACAGTCTAGATAACCCAGAAGGAAAATTAATATAAAATTAATTTAACGTAAATACGGAAATTGTCAGTGGTGTCTCCACAGGATAGTGGTTCATAACATTTTTAGAGATCTGGAGAGAATTTTCTGGAAAGGAGAGGAAAGGCTGAAGTCTAAACCTTTCCAATTTCATTTTTGCCGCTTGCCCTCTAATAACCCCATTTCAGTGTCTTATTTTAAAAGTAACATATTGTATTCAATTCACAGGAGGATTTGAGTACCGTGCTATGGAGGGAGATGGGCAGCTTGAATATAATTTCCATTTTTTGTGCTAAGTCTATATGTTATCTATATGTACACATATATAATGGATATGGCAATATAAAGTAATGATAAATGCAAATAAACAATTTATAGACATCTTCCCTCAAAAAAGAAAAGGTCGTTTTGTTTTTTTTTATTCCATTGGTACTATGTTTTGAGGTAGAAATCCGAGACAAGACTCTTTTATGACCACATTTTACAAAAATAGTTTATTCTTAGCTATATTAGACATATTGCTTTTGTGTCTTATGAGCTATTTTAGTGCTTATACTAGAACTCTTATTTACCAGCTAGTCTTAATAGCAGTAGAAGTAATCTGTACTATGCTATGTTCTTCAGAAGATTTTCGAGGTATTAATGATCAGTGGACATTGCTTAAGAATTCCTGCACTGAATTCTGACTTTAATTTCCTGGCGGGTCAGTTTCACTGATCAATCATTAAGTTTTAAAAACTCTCTCAGATCATTTTATCTTGAAGGAGCAGTTCCCCACTATTCTTCATATGTGGTGATTACGTAAACGTTGATTCGCGTGATCCTCTCGTTTGGGCCAGCATTTTGCTCATGTCAGTGAAGCTTTATCTTCCTCTTCTTCAGCCACCCACTGCGTCATCTCCAGATCTTAACGGAACTGCCTCTTCTTTCGCAACCTCCGCAGCCCTTACTCCATTTCCTCTTGGCTCCAATGTGGATTGTTACACTGCCTCCCACATGGTTTCCCTCCTTCCAGGTTTTCCCTCTTCCAAACGTACATACATTTGTAAGAACATATGTACGTACGTTCATGCTAAGAACATATGTACATATGTAAGAGCGCGCATATACGTTATGTATGCACGTAAGACCATACCTGCATCTGTAAGAACATACATGTGCATGCACATACGTACAAATATAAGAACATATGTACATCTGTAAGAAGAATTTTCAGACATGGTTTGCATGGCACAGTATACTGGGCGAGAACTATAGGGACCACTTGTCACCTCTGCATAAAACTTACATTCCTCAGTGGCTCTCTCAAGGCTTGCCCCTCGACTCTATTTAATACACTAAGACCGCCTAATGCTGTAGCTGCTTAAAGCAGACTGACCATCTTTAAATGTTCTCTTTATTGGAATAATGTTTTATGACACTCTGTACAGCTTTTTCATACTTTAGCTCCACACGATTCATTTAACACATTATAACCCACACGGAGAACTTGAATAAAGTGGAATGTGCCGTGTGAATGGGGAGTTACATTTCCCAGTTCACGGATTTATAACCGTTTAGTACATTTCTATGGGAGGATGATCCTATTTAATCTTTCTGTGGCACTGTGTCTTCATAGGGAGGAAATCAGACCGCTACAGTGATTGCATTGTGTTCAATGAAGGATTTCAACTTAGCACAAGAGACCTGCCAGTTGGCAATCAGGGATGTTGGAGGCCTTGAAGTTTTAATCAATTTACTTGATACAGATGAAGTCAAATGTAAGGTGAGTGCTTTGTCATAGTGGATGAGGAACCTTATTCTTACCTTCTCGTGGTTCACTTCTTAGTGCTAGGTGTCTGCCACTCCTGCTGCCTGTTTCTCGTGTTTATCTGCTATTCTTACTGATAATCTGCTACTTCTACTGTTAGCTGTTCTCATCTCTCTGCTTTTCTTCTTTCTCTTCTGGTTCTTTTTCATTAGTATGCACTTTTTAAATGATGAGTATTTATATATACATATGTAAATTATATATTTTCATATATTATATATATAAAATTATATGTTTATATATGTATAAAATTATATG